AACATAATTGAACTTGATTGTGCTATAATATTAATAAAATTTAAAATTTTACTATAATTTTGTATTTAATATGGGTTTGTTTAAAAATTGTTGAAATCTAAAATTAAAAAATACCAATTTTTATGTATAAAAGGGGGGTGCATGTAAAATTAAAACTAAGTTATTATATAATCTTAAAAACAATATTAAAAAAAAAAGTTTTGAAATGCAATAACACGTTTTAATCTTGTAAGATGATGTGTTATTCCTATAGACCGTAGAAAATAAAATCAATATTGTCAAATCGGACCAGATTGGACCAGCTGCGGAACACTGACTGAATCGTCATTTCAGATCGTGGTTTCGTTTTATGTTTTCAAAAATGGGTTGAACCCTTCATAAGATCTGTTTTGATGATTTCAATCATTCATTTTGTATAATTTTAAATGTATAATATTTATATAAAAAAAAATTAGTTCAATCTAATAATTGTAACTTTTTCATTTTATTATATTTGTATCTGTGGGGACATATTTTTTGGTTGTCCACGTGGCCGAGATTATTAGCCGAGGTGCTACGTGGGCAGATCATGTTTGTCGAGATATTTTGGGCACTGCCAAGGTATTCTGCGGCAATACCGGAATCCGAGATAAATGGATAAAGGACAAGAGTCCTAGAATGGGAGAAGATTTCAGTTTGGGTAAAGATGAAGCTCTTAGAGAGTTTATCCTAAATCTACTGAGAGTCCAAGATTAGCAGTAATCCTAAGTCCATTAGAGCTAGGCTTCTATTGGGACTAGGATTATGTTGGCTATAAAAGGGAGACACCCCCATGGGTCTAAGGTATGCTTTTGATAAGCACTATTGGTTATCTTTGAGAGATATTGTGAGTACTGACTTGATCGTCGGAGTGCCCTGGGTGGACGAGCCACCGCCGGAAACTCTTCTTTCTATTGCAGGTTGTTCGGGCTTAATCTATTCTGCCGGTGCTCTCCAACTGGGTACCTGTTTGGCAGTGTAGTCAGAAAAGCACTCACACAATTTGGCGCTGTCTGTGGGAAAGAAAGGAGAATAGATGGCCAATGACAGACAGAAAGAGAAGGTTGGGGACGACACCCCTATTGAGAGTGGAAAACATATTGACATTGACGTCAAAGAAGACAACTGCAGCGAAGAGACTCGTGATAAGAATCATGGAGGAAAGGACGTCGGCCAGGAGGGCACCATACCGAAGAAATCAGACCGGAGAGAATATTATAATGAGGACGACCTCCAGGTATGGAAGGATAGATATCTGCGGAGGGACGAAGAGGTGAAAGAGATGACAAACAAGTTGGCAGACCTGCAATCGATCGTCAATTGTATGATGCAAAATAACGTCATGCAGCCACCATTCCCACTGTAGGATACGCCGATTCCAGTGGCCAATGCCCAGAAGGGAGGGCAGAAACCAATCCCAAAAGCCCCTCAGCACACCAGGAGTAAAAGACACTCTCACCGACCTTCAAGGGAGGTCGGGTGAGGAGAGTCGAGAAGGGAAGAATCGCGGAGGACGCATTGCACCAAGGAAGTAAACCCCAGAGAACATCGGCATGTTCAAAAGCAGGAGCTGTGTTTCGACACAACTCATAGAGAAAGGTCAAAGAGGGCTCACAACGAAGCTGAGAGCAGTGCACCTAAAAGACTGAATCAGGAGATAGCCGAGTTCCTGGGCGGACAAAGGAAGACTTAAGAGATTACCTCAAAAGGAAACAACAGAATGCCGATGCCGAGGTAACCTTTCCTGATAAACCGATAACACCATCTCAGTGGAATTGGACAAATTTGAGGCGCCGAAGAGATTCAGTATGCCGAGGTTACAAATATACGATGGTAAGTCAGACCCCAACTTCCACGTTGGATTATACTTAAACTCAATGGCATTGTATAGTGGGAACGAGCCGTCGCTCTACAAAGTGTTCCCCTCATCGTTCGGGGAGATTGCATCAGATTGGTTTCACAAACTACCGAAGGGAAGCATGAAGACCTGGGAAGGCCTAGCCGAGATGTTTGTGGCCAGGTTCGTGACAAGGAAGCTACAGCCATTAAGGGTGGACGCCCTAATGGCCTTGAAGATCGGCGAGGATGAAAGCCTTAGGGCCTATGCCAAAACGTATTATGAGGTATTCAACCGAATACCAGGATGCAACCAAGAGGTGGCGGTCGTGTCGTTTAAAAACGGCTTGAAGGATGACTGTCTGCTTCGAAAATCACTGGCAAAGACATTGCCGAAAAGCATGGAGAAAATGATGGCCATGATATAAAAGTATGCCAGAGCCGAAGAAGATACGCCGGGGACAAAGGCGTCCAAACAAGAGAAGAGAAATGGTTCGCCGAAGCAAAGCCAAGATAACACTGGACACGAGAAGACAAGAGCTTAGCCCAAGTGAGCAGATCCCAGATTCCAGATCTGGAATCCCAAATCCCAGAAGACAAGATCTCGGCTTAGATGATTAAGTCCGAGAAGAGAAGAGCTTGGCCTAAGTTAAATAATTTTTTCCACAAAGGAGTATGTGGAAGCCATGCAGGGGGCAGATCCCCTGCCCATAGAGCAATATCAAGGTCAAAGCCACGTGCCTAGTAAGAACCCATGTGGAACTTAAGTTCACATTAGGGGGCAAAGGACTGAAGAATGATGCTTGGGAGTTGGAATTTCACAAACCGAGATGATGTTTAACACTTGTTGAAACTTGAGAAAAGTTTACAAGTTGAAGTTAAACCGAGATGCTGTTTAACACTTGTTGAAACTTAAAAAGTGTACAAGTTGAAGTTAAACCGAGATGATATTTAACACTTGTTGAAACTTAAAAAGTTTACAAGTTGAAGTTAAACCGAGATGATGTTTAACACTTGTTGAAACTTAAAAAGTTTACAAGTTGAAGTTAAACCGAGATGATGTTTAACACTTGTTAAAACTTGAGAAAAGTTTACAAGTTGAAGTTAAACAGAGATGATGTTTAACACTCTTTTAAACTTGAGAAAAGTTTACAAGTTGAAGTTAAACTGAGATGATGTTTAACACCTATTGAAACTTATAAAGTTTACAAGTTGAAGTTAAACCGAGATGATATTTAACACTTGTTGAAACTTGAGAAAAGTTTACAAGTTGAAATTAAACCGAGATGATGTTTAACACTTGTTGAAACTTGAGAAAAGTTTACAAGTTGAAGTTAAACCGAGATTATGTTTAACACTTGTTGAAATTCTGAGAGAATTTACAAGTTGAAGTTAAACCGAGAAAGAATGACTTGGAAATATGTAAGCCTATATGGCATTTAACTGGTTGTTAAACAGTGAATTCTGATATATGAAAATAAGTTGTTTCTCATATTTATTCCGCATATGAGTTATCTTTATTGTATTATTTTGGGGGTGTGACATGAGGGATCTATAGAACCTACTACGAGTCCTGTTTCGATAATCCGAATAATTCATTTTGTAAGGCTTTCAATGTGTAACATCCATGGAAAAAAAATTAAATCGATCCAATAATCGTAATATTTTCTTTTTATATTTGTCCTAAAAAAAATAGATGATTTATTTCAAAAATATATTTATTGTCTATTTTTTTAGATACTGTGTGGGTGTTTTTCTGACCACACTACCAAACAGGTACCCAGCTGGAGGGCACCGGCAGAATAGATTAAGCCCGAACGACCTACAACAGAAAGAAGAGTTTCCGGCGGTGGCTCGTCCACCCGGGGGCACTCTGACGATCAAGTTAGTGCTCAATATCTCTCAAAGATAACCAATAGTGCTTAACTCACTAGACAGAATATCAAAAGCATACTTTAGACCCATAGGGGTGCCTCCCTTTTATAGCCAACACAATCCTAGTCCCAATAGAAGCCTAGCTCTAATGGACTTAGGATTACTGCTAATCTTGGACTTTCAGTAGATTTAGGATAAACTCTCTAAGAGTCTCATCTTTACCCAAACTGAAGTATTCTCCCATTCTAGGCCTCTTGTCCCTTATCCGTTTATCTCGGATTCCGATATTGCCGCAGAATACCTCGGCAGTGCCCCAAATATCTCGGCAAACATGATCTGCCCACGTAGCACCTCGGCTAACAACCTCGGCCACGCGGACTACCAAAAAATATGTCCCCACAACTGCCCTCTAGGTTCTATTACCTCGGCAAACTGAGGTGATGGAACCTATATTATCTCTTTCATCTAGCACATCGGCTAAGCTTGCTTCATCATTTATTGTCGAAGTTAGAACTCGTCGGCTTAATATGACCCAGACCTATAGTCTGCTTTTATCAAGGCTTTGGAACCAACAACCAAATTCGTTCAAGTTTCTCAGCCGAAACTGTCCTTCTAGCCGAGGTATTTGTTTCATTAAATCAAGAACTTCAAGAGTTTTCTTCATGCGTATGAGCTGGCACGTACAATTTTTCAACCGTTTCTGCCATACATCTTTCCTCTACTGAGCTATGTCTGATACGCGTCATTAAGTCGCCTTGCATCTGCGTATTTTGATCAAAAATCTCTTCACTCTCTCCGCCTTTTCACTTCTGCATCTTCGTTTTTGTTTAAACTTTCTCTTGCAAATCCTCTATTACTGCTTTTTCGAAGCTGTCTACAACCAGTTTCACTCTCCTCTCTAGCGAGGCTTCTGCTACACTTCCTTACTTACGACCACCGTCTGATCCCGACGAACTTTATTTCGGCTTCATTGCTTTACTCGTTCATGTCTTTTGATCATTTAACCTGTATCTTGAATTTCACCATGTACTGAACATGTACTGTCTTTGTACCTTGAACTTTTTTGTTACTCAAACAATTTAATCTTCAATGTCAAGCCGAAGTGCCTTCTTTCCTTATCTGAATGCATTTTTTAACTTCTTCTTTCAAGTGTTTTGAATGTTTGCCCTCTTCTTAATGCCTTGTATGATTCAATACTTAGAATACAATTTGCATGTCTTCAACATACACCTTAACTGTGCAATCTCCCCAGGTTAACAACTTTGAGCATGATGCAGCCATTTTCGGATCCTATTCCTGATGAAGACAACTTTGAGCATGATGGAGATGGAGGTTGGCCTTTCCATAATTTTGTCGAACAACTCATTGTTGATATGTTTGATCCTGGTAAGCTCTTGTGTATTCTTTTCTGCAATTTTGATCTTCCAGTATTATTTTTACTGAATAAGAGTTTCTCTGATTATATGTTGTCAGTTTGGGAGGTACACCATGGTAGTGTCATGGCTCTAAGAGAAATTTTAACCCATCAGGGTGCTTGTGCGGGAGTTTATATGCTTGACCTGAGTTCTGATGATCCATTTTCTAAAACAAAAGATAAAGGTCTTGAAGTGACAGTGAAGAGAGAAAGAGAAATTGATTTTAATATGCAAGTGCCAGCAGATGAGATTGAGCCAAACCTGAAGAGGCCAAAGGTTGAAGATTCATGGTCTCCATTAACGGTTACAAGTACAATAATCTCTGCCAGTGGGGATGATAAGTTTGATGCCTGTGTAAAGGTTGAAGATAGTGAAAGGAATTTGTCTGCTGCACCAACTAATGGTGAACTTAATTTTAGTTCTGTTAAGATAGAGCCTCAATCATGCACTGATGGTCATGAAGATCCGGCTATGGCTGAGGCAAAGGGTTCCTGTGAAGATAATTGTTCAATGGGGAAGATGAATACACTGAAAAGTCTTCCTGAAAATTGTGTGCTGATGAACTTGGTTAAAGTGACTAGGCATTCTTGGCTTAAAAATTGTGAATTTCTTCAAGACTGTGATTCGTTTCTTGTGTGTATTGTCACTAGACCGGTATGAATTTGTTTTTCCATTGGGTTCCAGTCATGAACTTTAGTTTCTTATTGATTTTTTCAGTTAGTTGATAGGAATTGACACCTGTCCATAATAATAATCTATAGCTTTGATTCATGAGTTAATTGCAAATATCGTGGTGATGGTTCAGAGAAGTTTTCTTGAAGGTCCTTACATTAATTTTTTTTCCTCTTTTCGTTTCTCGCTTTTGCAGTTTTGGAGACTATGTCTCTGATCAGGTTGTTGCTCCAATACGAGAAACTTGTGCACAAGCATTAGGTGCTGTCCTAAAGTACATGCATTGATGTCTTTCTTCAAATGCAGGTAAATACTGTCTTGAGAACTTGCCTGTTTTTTTATTATTTATAGTTATATTAGATATATGGTTTTGTGACAACCTTACTGTTTTTACTGCAATAAAGAAGATATATATGATCTGACTGTATCATCTGCTTTAATTGTCTCTTCCTCTTTTTTTCAGTGTAGACCAGAATGGGAAGTTCGACATGGGAGTCTTTTGGGTACCAAATATTTGGTTGCTGTGCGACAGGTAAAATTTTGTTATTTGCAATATTTTTGCTAATCCAAAATCTGCTCTGATTCTTGCCATGCTTAGTTCATGTTACACAAATTGATTAACATTGGGACCATGCTCAAACGGGGCCTAAAGGGTAAAACATTTGGTGTACCAAGGGTAAAACATTTATAATTTACCAAACTTGGTGAAAAATAATGTATGTTAAACTTATTATTTTTCACCAAATATTTTACATTTGGTGTCCCTAAATGTTTTACCAAATATTTCACATGGGTGTAGGTCCCACACGGGACCCACATGGTGTAGATTCCACATCCATGTAAGACATTTAGTAGAATATTTGGTAAAATATTTAGTATCCCTAACATTTTTCTAATGTTTACTCTTATTATATTGATGATCACGTGGGATGAATTATTGTCCAACAAATTCTTCTTTTATTTTTCCCTCATAACTGAGTGTCCGAGTCAAGCTTACGCATATCTCAACTAATCTCACAATTCACGTAAAGCATCCCTCACGTGAATCGGATAAATCTCGTGGATTCAACAACTTTTTTTTACACTGTATTTGGCTGAGAGATTTGGAAAGGGAAACGGAAACGGAAACGGAAACGGAAACGAAAAAAGTATGTGAAATATAAATAAAATATACCTATATTTCACCTAATTTCATACACATTTTTCTTTTCTTTTTTTAAATCACTTTCTAAATCTCCTAACCAAATGCAGTATTAAGTGTTAGTTAAAAAGTTTGAAAGATTGCTTTTTTTATTAACATGATTGAGGTTGTTTTTTTTACAACACAAAAATAAGTTTATCCAATTGACATAAATCTGTTTCAAGAAGTTGTGATCAATGGAGTGTTTATTTGGGTCTAGAGAATATACTAATGGATAAGGACACAAGAAAAAAGGTGTCATTTTGGCTTATTATTATTATTCTATGTATGAGGTTGGATTCCATTTGGAGTGAAAGCTCTTCCTGTTGTCTTTCTTTTTCTCTTTCTCTGTCTCTCTATCTATCGAGTAAACATTCAATGCAAAATGCACGTCGGTTCAATGCTGGTGATGATGGTGAAATGAAAATGAATGTAGAAGTTATTGGGTGATTCAGGTGCAACTTTAGTTTGTGCTCTATCATTATTTGATAAGTGAATGGTGTGATGAATAGACTATAATACTTTAGTACGTTAAACTAATAAAAAAATCTAACCAATAAGAATGGAATAAGTACCTCATATGATGTTGTCCTGAATCAAATTATAATTTCTCAAATGAAAGGAGCAACGGTTCTCTATTGGCTAAAAAATATGATTACATTTGACGCTCATTATTGGCCATGGACAACCCATTATCATTACTTCCAAATTTAAAATATAAAAAAATAGAAAAACACAAGGGGAGATATTAGACATAATCTACACCAGTCTTTATTTCCTTTTTCTTCTTTTAATTAATTTTTATTTTATGCAAATGTTTTCAATTAATATTGAAAGTTTTTAAACTTTTTTATGACTTTTTAGTGTGGGTTTAATTATTTTTTTAAAAAAACTACATTCACCTTCTTTAGGTTTGAAAAAATACTGCAAGTCTAATAAGTTTGACATAATTAATTTTTTCATCAAAAAATATTAATTATATAAATGAAAAAATAATATTATCATATCTTTTATATTTAAATATATGTTTTATAATATTGATGTATTAGTTTAATTACCACAATAATATTATGAAACAACGAATTTATTGGTATGGCTATTGAAGTGGTGAGCATTAGAAATTTGAGACATCTTATGCCCATAAATATGTCTAAAAAGAATTAATGTGTGTTCCAGCGCACAGATTATGAGTCTGTAGTAATATTCTTTAATTCATCCTTGGGGTGATGTGGGCTTGGAGTGGATTTTTCATGACCATGGTGAAGTCTTGTTTCTCACTCAAGTCAACGTCTTCATCACCCTCACTTGTCCACTTGAAATCCCTCACCAAATTAGCCACAAAATACTTTTGATGAAGCAATGCCAATGAAATTGCAGGGCAAACCCTCCTTCCTGCACCAAAAGGCATCATCTTAATCTCTTTAGCTCCTTTTATGTCAAACACCACCTTCTCTTCTCCTCCCTCCTCACTCATAAACCTCTCTGGTCTAAACTCCATTGGATCTTCCCACACATTTGGGTCCCAACCCATCTCTGCCACTGTGAAATTCACCATGGCATTCATCGGTATATCGTAGCCTTCCATCACAGTGTCCTCCGTCACGGCACGTGGCAATATGAAGTGCCCGGGTGGATGTCTTCTTAAAGTCTCCAACACTATGGCCTCTAAATATGGCATTTTTTCCAAGTCTTGTTCTTTGATCTCCTCTCCTCTTTTCACCACTGCATTGATTTCTCTATATAATTTTTCTTGAATTTCTTGGTGCTTCACTAAGTTAGCCATAACCCATTGTAATGTGGTGGTGGATGTATCAGTACCGCCATTGATAAACTCTGAACACAAACTCAGCATCTCACCTTCAGAGAGCTGTGTTTCAGCATTGTTCTCTTGGGGAAGTCGGAGATCAAAAAGGGTATCGACGTAAGAGACAATGGATTCACCTTCATCTCCCTCTTTTGTATTGTTTATTTTCTTTCGACGTTGTCTTATGAGTGGAATGAGGACGTCTTCTTGCTTCTTTCGAATCTCTAAGAGTTCTTTCCAAAGCTTTCGAAACACAATCTTTCCCAACCTTGGCATGAAGTTGAGCACATTGAATCTTATGAAATTGGCAAGGACCGGTCGTTGCACCGCCTCTATGTCTCTTATCACCTTCTCTTCTAGTTTCTCTCCAAAACACATATAGGCAAGTAAACAAAATACAACATGTTGAAAATGATCTTGAACAAGGATAGCCTTGTTTCTTGATTCTGGTTGTTCAACTATGTCTAGTAGTTCTTTTTGTAATACGTCGTATGCCCATTTACGACCACCAGAGTATACATTTAACCGAGAAGGATGTAAGACAGATGCAAGGTTTTGGCGAAGAACCTTCCACAATGATCCGTAGGCCGCAGAACTAACAGTGCGGTGGTTGCTAAAGATAACTTTGGTGGTTTCAATAGCTTGTGGGCGGTTGGCGAAGATAGTGGCATTTTGGACTAGGGCTCGGTGGGCGAGTTCACGAGTAGTTATGAAGATGGAAGGCCGTGAACCGATATGGAGAGTGAGAATGGGGCCATGTTTGGTGCGTAGCCGGCGGAGGATGGGTTCCAAGTTGGAGAAATCGTGGGAGGATTTGAGAAGCCATAGTATGTTACCTAAGAAGGGTATGGTAGGAGGGCCTGGTGGAAGTTTTTTAGTGTGTAAGAGACTTAGGAGGGAATGCAGAGAAATACAAAGACAAAGAGATGCAAAGAGTATGAACCAAAATTCCATCTCAAATTAAACAGATAACAAACGACTAAAGGTTGACCTAGTGGATAAAGTTTTCTTATCGAGTCTTATTGTCACGCTCTGTAACTTCTTCTTACTCTATTCTCCTCAAAAAAATAACACATCAAGCACAAAGTTACCAAATAAATATGTGAGTCCTTATATTTGGAAGAAGTAGCATATGAAGGTTCTTTAATTTGCATATATAAATGCATATGGTTTCTTTCCTCTTCAAATTAATCACCTTTAATGCTTTATCTCCTTAATGACACTTTAAAACCATGAACTTATTCATTAATGAGACAAAATGAATATTGTAAGGTTTAATGGTGGATGCATGAATATTATAACTTTCATTGTAACTTTAATGTTTTCCTTAATGAATATTGTAACTTTTAATCGGGTTTGCGGGTGGACATTTAATGAATATTGTCTTCTTAATGACACTTTAAAACCATTAATTTATTCATTAAAGAGACAATGAATATTGTAACGTTTAATGGTGGACGCATAAATATTGTAACTTTAATGCTTTGTTCTTAATGAATATTGTAACTTTTCATGTGCTCTGTACGTTTAATGGTGGACGCAAAAATATTGTAACTTTAATGTTTTGTTCTTAATGAATATTGTAACTTTTCATGTGCTCTGTATCAGATGTTAAGATGTCACTAATAGAAAAATTGGTATATGACACAGAATTTTTTTGCGACGGCATATTAACTGTCGCAAAAAGTAACCTTTTGCGACGGCTAATACCCGTCGCCAATGATCATTTTTTGCGACAACATTTCCTGTCTCAAATGATGGAAGGATATGTTGGATGGTTTTTGCGATGGCAAACTATTGGCCGTCGTGAAAGACCTATTTTTGTGAGACGGCTTTTTCTCCCGTCGTAGAAAGATTTTTTTGCCATGGCCTTTCTTGTGTCATGGCTAATAGACCCAAAAAAAAAAAACGCTTCTTATTCTCTCTCTATCACACCTCTGTCTCTCTGTCACGCCCTCCTCCTCCTCCTCCCCCCTCCCCTTTCTCTCCCTCTCTCTCCACCGTCGTCAGTACAGGATCACACGACCACCACCGCCATTGATATAACCATCGCAAACCAGCAGCTATTCTCTGAAATCGAGGAGACGCAATCGAAGGGGTTTGACATTGAGATCGCCGGCCAAATTTAGAGGCGACAATTGAGATGCGTAGTAGGGGCGGAATGTAGTGGGGGAATCAGAAAACCTAATTTTATTTCTCTTCTCTCTCTCTCTCTCTCTCTCTCTCACACACACATGTATGTATAAGCAGTTTCAGATCTCTCTCTCTCTCTTCAATTCAATTTACAGAACATGATGCTTTGCTTTGTTCTGATTTGAATTGCTTTCTCAGAACTCAAAAACAAAAAGAAAAAGGGTTTTCTTGACAACTCCATTCGATTCATCTGAAATTCTCGTTTTCTCCAAAATGGGGTTGTGGGATTCCCTCCTCAATTGGCTCAGCAGGTAACTTACTCCTTTCTCTTCTAATCTTCCATATTTTTTGTCAGAATGATTCCTGTCTAACTCCAAGGGATGAAGTGCAAAATGGAGCATTCTGTCAGGGAGAAACAGTTTCATTTACTTCTAAGGTTGTTAAGGATTATTTGAAGTTGTGTCATAATGTTATGGTCAATGAATCTCGTGTTTTAGTTCTCATCCTGGTTATGACAAAGTTGTTCATGGTGCATATATCTTGTTAAACTGTTTATATACATTATTAGTGGGAGTTGGTCAATTGGAGTAATTTTGTGTTGCTTTAAAACAGCATGAAGACAATATAAAAAATATGAAGTCTCAGAAAAACAGCTTGGATGACTTCATTCTCGACATGCAAGGTATATTATTTTCTAATTTTTAGTTTGTGTCAGTGTCCCTGTAAAATTTACTGTCTAATTTTCTAATTAAATGTTTTAAGATATTAGGTTTTTTGGAAAAAAAAAAAGAAAGAAAGAAAGAAAGATAAGTTACTGCCAGAAATTAGCTTGATTGGTATATGTTGTCATAGCAAAAGGGAAGATGCAGGATTCAAGTGCCAATTAGCAAAAATTATGTGCCCTAAGCCCTTAAGCAGAGGCCACATAGTGCGCTCCGTGAGTGTGATTGGTTTTCGTCAATAATGCGTTTCTATCGAGCATAACTCATTAAATTTTACCAATTTCTATTGTACCCCTTGTACGATTACATGGAATTAAGTTATTACATTAGTAAGATCTGCATTCAAACTTTGGAAGCGAAATAATTTTGAGTTTGAAGAAGTTAAGATCTTGATTCTCTTGCGATAATGTATGATTTAATTGTATCATTTGCTTATAATTTTTCCTGATAATTATTATCTCAATGAATCTTGGGCAATATCATTCATCAAGTATGCCCATGATGGAAGACGGGGATCATACTGGTGTGGACAGTGAGGAGGAACCATTAGAACATATAATAGAGCATGAGAAATCCGCAGCTGGCATTTTGTGCTTGCTGAAAACTTGCCATGGCAATGAGGCTGCTAATCTTCTGTTGACCAAGGATGTGTTGGGTATTGTTGCTACACTTGGGAAAGTGGATGATGACAATCTCAGCAGGTTGGTTTGAAATTGCAGTCTTCTGTGTTTTTAATTGTTTACTTTGTACTATTGTCATTGCTTCTTATTTAGCTGTGTTCGATCATTTTTCAGCCATTTTGACATGGACATGGTAGAGAATTAATTGTCCCATCCTACTGATAAATAGCTCTAGTGATTGAATAGCTATATTCTGGTAAATGTTTTGTATATTATTAGGTTCATTTGAAGTTTGCATGGTCGTGTGTGTTTTTGAATGGGTGCAATGAGTGTAGTTGTTACATTGATGTCTTGGCAGTTGGCAGTTCTGATGTTAAGATGCTTTGCTAACTTTACTGGCTCATGGATGGTAGACTTCCTACAGCATGTTGATTAAGGTGCAGTCAGAGAGTCTTACCGTTATTAGTGATCTATAGTATACTTGACATGTTCTGTTTTTCCAACTCTGGAGTCAGGCTTCTCTCGGAGTACTTGGGTATAGAAACTATGTTGGCAGTTGTCTGCAAGACTTACGATGGTGTTAAAGCTCTGGAAACATATGGAAATGATGGTTCTGTAAGTAAAAGTTCTGGCCTTCATGGGCTTGGAACTTCCATAGGGAGGCATTTGGATGGCCATTTTCAAGTCATTTGTCTTGAAAATATGAGGTATGTGGCCCCATGTACCATCTTTTTCTTGTGCAATCTGGAGTTCTAGTTTGATGATATTATAAAACATTTTTTTTTCTTGTCAGACCATTCCATGGTGAGTTTGTAGCTGAGGACCCCCAGATGCAGCTTGATCTTTTCAAGCCAAGATTATATTGTAAATATATATATATATATATATTTTTTGTATGGGTTCATCAAACTTTTTGTTGCCTCAGTTGCAGATCGTATGTGCAGATCTGGTGCTGTTGATCTCATCTGCGTTGATGCTGTCTCAGCTCTTACTCCACGAGCTGAGATTGAAGTAAGTTACATTGTTTTTATTTTCAGAATACAGAAGTTGACAAGATTGCTAATGCCTGACACATCCTTGGGTCTGTTTGTTGTACATCGGGGGAAATTGGAATGCAGCAGATGGGTTTGCAAGCATGTCTCATGAGCCAAGCTCTGTGTAAAATGTCTGGAAATGCCTCCAAAGCTGGATGTACTCGTATTTTTCTGAATCAAATAAGACACAAGGTAATTTTGATTAATAAGGTGTAAAATAGAGCCTCGAAGACTAGAGGAAACACTCTGTTACAATCACTTTCTTCAATCACTCTCACCATTACTACAACTCAAGGTCTAGTACCAAAGGTTCGTTCATTTCCATCAATTTTCTCGTCATTTTCCTTGTAATTTTCCTCCATTTTCCATTTCACTATGACTTGTAGATGGGTTTGCAAGCATGTCTCATGAGCCCCAAAAAAGTAGGGTACGGGTACGGCTGCAGTACACCGATATTTTTTTATTTTTTTTATTTTTTATAATTATGGTTAAAAGATCCAACCTACAAATTGAAGTTAAATATCAAAAATAAAAAAAGAACTATAAATAAAACTAAAAGACAAATAATTAAATATAAGAGACAAATATGATTTTTATGATAAACATTCTGTTGAAAATAATAAACAAAAGAGACAAATAATAATTAACTAAAAGACAAATAAATATTTATGATTGAAAGACAAATAATATAAGAGACAAATAATTAACTAAAAGACAAATAAATAAAATTAAAAATAATATTTATGATTATTTATTAACATTCTGTTGAAAATAATAATTAATTAAAAATATTATGATTGAATAACAATAATTAAAAATATTAAAAATCATAATTAATATATATGATTTTTCATTATTAAAAATAATAATTAATTTTTTTGATTATTAACATTATGTAAGTATTTTGTATTCTAATTTATTAATTTTTTTATCTAATTTTTTTTTTTGGTTCTAAATATGATTGAATAACCTGGTTCTAATTTTTTTAATTTTTTGTGTTCTAATTTATTAACATCAGATTATACCTCTGAAGAAAAAAAGAAGAAACAACAAAAACAACAAAAAAAATAAAGATGAAAGATTATAATTTATACCTCTCTGCAGCAGGTCGAAGCCGAAGTCTCTGGGTTGAAGTCGAAGAGGAGTGTCGTAGTCGAAGACGAGGCTGATGGTCGAAGTCGAAGACGAGGCTAAGTCTGATGGTCGAGGTCGAAGTCGAAGACGAGGCTAATGGTCAGAGTCGCCTCTTTGCTTAGATGAGATTAGGGCAAAAGTCGAAGTCGAAGGAGGGTGATGATGGTCAAAGTCCTCTTTGCTTCGATGAGATTAGGGCAAAAGTCAAAGACTTCACTGATTAGGGCAAATGGTCGAAGTCGAAGACTTCACTGATTAGGTATATACAATTTTTTCTTTTTTCTTTTTAATTTTTCTTAATATTGCTCCGGTACCCCTCAATTTTTCAGAAAAATTGATTTCTGCCCCCGCCGTACCCAAAACGCACCATCGGCGTACCCATTCCGTACCCGAGCCGTACCCATGCCGTACCCGACTGAGGCAGACGTACCCGACCACTTTTTGCCGTATCCGGTACACGTGCAGCTGTACCGGTACGCGTACCCGCACCCGGTAAATATTCGGTGCGTGTACGGCACTATTTTTGGAGTACCCATGCTTCATAGGTTTTCCCCTGTTAAATCATATATTTTGCATACACACACACATATATATATACACACTAGGGGTATGGGGCCACCTGATGGGTGTGCTATTAAATTTGTAAAATATAAATTTTAATTTTGAATTAGAAATATATATAGTGTTTGTTGATCAAGTGATAAGGGTGTTGTTTTCCAAACTCAAGATCTTAAGCTTAAATCTTGTGCACTTCACTTTTCTCTTTTTTTATATAAAAAAATCCACTTGGCAAAAGGAAAGAGTAGGCTTCAAGACACTAAAGTGAGTTGTTCACACATATATAATAGTATAGATATATAATTTATACAGAATTATTTGTAGTGAAGTAATTTTATTGATTTGAAAGGAGTTTGAATACTGTTCTTAATTAGATAAGTGGTCGTTGTTGTCTGTGAATAGGAAGCTAAAATAGTCTATTTGTTTATCAAATCATACTGAGTTTTGCTGGCTGACTGAGTTGCATTCTTCTTTCCTTCATCTAAAATATCGGCGTACCGCAACCGTACCCGTACCCTCGTATTTTTCTCGTCATTTTCCTTGTAATTTTCCTCCATTTTCAAGTCATTTGTCTTGAAAATTTAAGAATAAAATAGTTCACAGTAATTTTGTAAATCCATCCCAACAACCTATTTAAACTTTAACTAAATTGCATGTAGCATATAAACACTAACTACTATAGCGGGTTGCAAAAGGGAGTATTGAATGAATAGTAATCGAGATGTAAACAAGTTACAGACAATAAACAGAGAGTATGGAGAAGGTCTTTGGGTGAAAAATAAGGAAAGCACCCCTTAAACTGAAAACAAATTAACATACTACTAAATACACCTTATCAAGTGTCCCCAAGGCACTCGTTACCAATAGCCATACTTTATTAGTCTCATGTTATTGAAAGGGGGTTTGGGGAAAATGAATGGACTAAAATTGGAAAAAGGGGAAATATGATTAATTAAGCATTGAGTTAAAAGTTGCTTGAAATATGGTGACAATAATAGACTCCATATGAGTATGAAAGGGAATTCTTGCTTATTTTGGGAAGTCACGTTTTACATTTGGTTGTCAAGAAAATTATTCCCGGTTTGTAAACCCTAGTTACTGTTATCTTTTTTTACATAAACTATATTTTGGATGTGTTAATGTTGTTGTGTTGTCAATCACTATTCTCCATAATAAGCTTATAATGGGGACTTCCTTTCAGTCGGATTTATTTGTCTTTATATGTTCTTTTTTGGACAATATGTCTTTTGGGTCCCTCCACTGTTATGCAGCAGACATTGTTTTTTTCTTCTATTCTTTGATTAAATGTTACTTGTCACTCTTTGATTCTGACTTTTGCCCTGGTATCACCTCCAAGTTATCAATTTGAAACTGGTAGCCTTTGCAAACAGATTGTTCTATATGAATATATTGATCAATGAAGGAAAGAAATTTGCTGCTTTATTTTGCTACTATTATGAATTATCAATTTATTTTATTGATTTAGCATTTGAATGGAAGGATTGATTTTTGTTCTGATAATTGAAGTGTCAATGGTGGTGAGCTGTTATTCTTTAATGATTTAGCATTTGAATGGAAGGACTGATTTTTGTTATGAGAATTGAAGAGTCCATGGTGGTGAGCTGTTATTCTGAAGTGACATCCATTCTTTTAGTGATTCCTATTCAAATATCCTTCTCATCAAACTTCTCTGAAATATAATTAATATGATCTCTATTTACATTCAGAATTTGAGAAATTCTTCCCAGTTTTATATTTACTGTATGTGGCCGTTTTCGTTATCTAAAAGGTTTCCAGGGGAAAAAAATGCTAGTGTGACAAAACATCACTCTTAGAACCTTTTGGAGTCAGTAATAAATGACTGTTGATAGTCTAATAATTGGTAGTGTGACAAACCATCCACTTTGGTTGACGGTGCTGGTTTGGTTTTATAACTCTATACGATAGTCTTAGCAGAACCTTTGGAGTTTGTAATTTCAACTTTGATGTCTCTCTATTCATACCCACACATCTTGATCGATTTGTCCATGGTATGGAGTCACATAAAACTACTTATTCCTTAGAGTTGGTATGGAGTCACATAAAACTACTTATTCCTTATAGTTCAAAATTTGGTTATTATGTCATTAACAGAATGTATGGAAGTCAAGTGAAGTTTGTGCCCAAAAAATTGAGTTTATAATGCAGGGTTTTGGGGAATTTTAAACCATGGAAGCCCTTGCAGTGATTGGAATTAGTTCACTTATTTCTGCAATACTTGTCTCTCACCTGGTAGACATCCACGATACGGCAGTTCTGAGCTTTCTAAAATTTTAATTAGCCATTTATCCTAAAAAAGGGTACTGTCCGGTACAAGGTTCTTTGCCAGTTTAATTAAATAAATATTAATTGTTTTACATTTTCTGTAAGCTTGAAATTAATTATATTATAAATGATATTTTTTTTGTGTTTCTTTTTGCAGATGCAACCCCTTTTGAGTACGTGATGATATCTTCGCATATCGATATTGGACTTACTGTTGATATTAAAACAAACTATAATATATATGTTTTTTTATTTGCATTGTCGATACTTTTGTTTTGCTTTAGATACAAAAATTTAAGTTATTGAATAGCAAAAGTTATTAGTATTGTTAGAGAATGTTTTATATATTTTTGTAAAGAATATTTGGTTGACAATTGTACAAGGATAAATATACGCTAATGATTTTGTGAATATGAATATGGATGTGGATGTATTTTATTTTAGAAAATATTAATAATTTGTACAGAGAATGAATTAATAAAATATGTATTGATTTTATGAAAATAATTTTATTGCGACAATAATAACCGTCGCTAATGTAATCTTCATTTCCTTACATTTTATTAGTGACGGGTTAACTTGTAGCATATACATATTAGTTTGATCTTTAGCGACGGTTCAAACTGTCGCAAATATGGTATTTTTTGGACATTTTAGACCGTCGCTAATAATACTTTTTGCAACGTCAAATATCATCGCAAAAAAGTTTTGGCGACGACGACCAATATCGTCACTAAAAAGTGAAGTTTTTCCCTCTTTTTGTGTCAGGTTAAACCGTCGCAAAAATCATTGATTAGCCGTCGCTACAAGAACGCGGTTTGTAACCGTCGCAAATACTTTTTGTCACGTCCCCTTCCCCCGCCCCCTATTTCCCGTCGTTGCTCCATCGCAAAAAACTTTTTGCGACGATATACGGACCTTTTTGCAACGTTTGAGACCGTTGCAAAAAGTCCGTTTTTTAGTAGTGTGCGGAGGATCCTATATATATGGCTCTTGTTTCTACCGTTGCTGTCATTTGCAACAAACAAAATACCTGGTATGTTCTTTGTCTGATCCTATCTTCAGTGCTGTATTTTGTTTGGTTTTTTGCCATAGCTTCATGCTCTTGTTTTATTCACTGTGTGTTCCCTTCAAAATCTGCCTACTATGTGTTTGATAATATGTCTACACAAGACATTCACACGTCTTTGCCTCCATAAATTGTCCACCATGTGCTTGTGAATATGTCTAAACCATTAATTTAGTCGTGTTGCCATATCTCATCTCTCAGCATAGATACAAATACAGAACTATGAAAAATAAATAAATAAATAAACAAACTCCAGTCCTTGGGTATCTATGGTAGGCAAAACCATAATGTCATGCTAGAAAAAAAAATGCTTTTGTTCTGATGTCCAAACACTTGCAAGATGTTCAAGTACATTCTTTTTTTTTTTTAGGTACATCGGAAAATAAAAGAGGGAAAGGAGGCTAGGCCCTCTCCCTCGAAACACCTAATATATCGGCTACCAAAAGGCCTCGTATCTCCATCGGGGGTTCATTTACAACAAGTAAATCCTCCGGTTGCTCCGCTCCAAATTTCGCGAGAGCATCCGCACATGTGTTCCCTTCTCTCAGAATATGTTTGATTTCGCATGCACAGCCTTGCATGATGATTCTTGCGTCTTCTACTAAACCCCGAAATTGGAAATTATCTCCCGAACTCTCTGTCAACATCTTGACAACTTGTTCCGCATCCATTTCAATAATTACATTAGTAAGGCCCCTTTGGAGGATGATAGTGAGGCCTTTGTAGACAGCCCACAATTCAGCTTCCAAGCTTGTGCAAGTTTCCAAGCGCCCATAGTAGCCACTGATCCATGTGCCCTGTTCATCCCGAAACAATCCACCAAAGCCCCCCGATCCAGTTCCAGTTCCAGTGCAACTATCGGCATTTAGCTTGATGACACCTGCAGGAGGAGGAAGCCACTTAATTAGTCTACAAACTGATTTTGGGGCAGTTATGGATCTGGCAAATGCATTAAAACATTCTAAAGAAGTTTCCAAAATGAGTTTCACACTATCAAACACATTGGCAGCCTTGTTTTCAAAAATCTTTTTGTTTCTATTTTTCCAAGTATGCCAAAGAGTGGTTATAAAAATTGTTGCCCAAGGAATTCCATACGTAAATCGTTTTTTATTAGTCGAATTGGTGGTAATCCAGTCCTACAATGAAATACTCAGGCCATTCACATACCACCTTCAACCAAAAATGGTACTCCACACTTCCATTGCTACGGGACAAGCCCTTAGCACATGGTTCAAATCCTCTATGCCCCCACAAGAAGGGCAACTTGAATCCACAATGATACCGCGTTTTAGACGCATGCAGTTAGTGAGGAGTTTCCCATGCAACACGAGCCATAAGAATCCTTTAAATTTTTTAGGGATCTTAAGTTTCCACACCCACTTCCAATGAGTCACATTGGGTGAGTGAGCTTGTAAGAGATCATAAGCAGCTGTGGAGGAGAAATCTCCATCAGTGGAGCCCTGCCAACTAGGTGTATCCGTGAGATTTACCTAACGAGGGAGATGTATTTTGAGAATTTCGTGAACCAACTCTGGAAGAACAAGAGTATTGATAGCATGCATGTCCCATTGACCCTCCAGATCAATCAAAGTATCCACAGTATTGGAATTGGTAAGACTGTGGTTAGGGACAGCTTCTACCCAAGGCCTATCCCCACACCACCAATCATGCCAGATCCGAACTTTAGCACCATTTCCAATAGTCCATTTCACACCTTTTTTCAACAGACTTCTGGACTTCATAATGCCTCTCCAAATAGGAGAAGCTTGGCCTTTCCTTGACCAGCTTTGGACAGTGTGGTGTTTGAGATAATTAGCTTTTAAAACCTCAGTCCAAAACCCATTGCCATCGCTCACGACGACCATATTCTTTTTTCCTGCAAACCTTATCCCACTTAATAAGGTGCACTTTTTTCTTGTCCGGGGTGTCACCCCATAAAAAGTTTCAATTTAGCTTGTCCATATCTTCACAAACCCCTTTAGGGAGTAACTGAGTTTGCATCGAGTAAGCTGGAATGGCGGATGAAACTGATTGAATGAGTGTAGCACGGCCCATCAAGGATAAAGTATGGGTCTTCCATCCAGCAAGTTTTCACTGCATCTTCTCCAAGATGGAATTGAAATATCTCCGGCTCACTCTATTGTGCAGTAGAGGAACCCCAAGATATTTCCCCAGATCATCAGTAAGAGGAAATCCACACCTAGAACTCAAAGCTCTAGCATGAATTCTATCCACATTAAGTGAAACAAAAAGTTTTGATTTGTGAGGATTCAAATTTAACCCAAAAACAGTACTAAAATCATTGAGGGTCGTAATTATACTCTCACAAATAGAGAGCTCAGCTGAGGCAAAGAGCATCAAATCATCTGCGAAAAATAGATGGGTAATACAAGGACCACCCCTACACACAGAAAGGCCTTTCCATTTTTTCCTCTCCACTTGGTGGTATATCATATTAGAAAGGCGTTCCATGCATAACACAAACAGATAGGGGGAAAGAGGGTCACCTTGCCTCAAACCCCGGCTCGGAGAAAATTCCTCTAACGGTTCACCGTTCCACAAAACTGCCGTTGTGACCGAAGTAACACACTCCATAATGAGTTGGACTAAGGTATGGTCCAGCTCAAATTCCTGAAGGGTTTGGTGCAAGAAGTCCCACGGAATATTATCATAGGCTTTTTCCAAGTCTATTTTGAGAACCATACCTCCTTTCTTGCCCCTCTTGTGGTTAAGGGTATGAATAATTTCGTGGGTTATAATGATGTTGTCATAGGTGGTTCTCCCAGGGACAAAACTGCTTTGGTTAGGTCGCACTAGGTTGGACAAGAGAGGTCTCAGCCGATTAACAATGATCTTGGTGATAATTTTGTAGGTTACGTTGCAAAGGCTAATGGGTCTGAATTGTTTTATATTTTATGGGTTTTCAATTTTAGGAATAAGAACAATCAAGGTTTTGTTGATCTCTTTGGGTATAAGTTGATGTTGAAAACAGTGCTTCACAAAATCACACACCGAGGGGCCTACTATATCCCAATAGGTGTGAAAGAAGATTGCCTGGAAACCATCAGGTCCAGGAGCTTTAAAGGCTTGGATGTTTTTAACAGCAGCCCAGATCTCCCCATTGTTCACAGGTTGACAAAGCATCATATTGTCCTCCTGCGAAAACTTTCGAGCAACCAGACCATACCAGTGTTCCAATCTGACAGTGGGTTTGGGCCTAAATAGGTTTTCGAAAAAATTTTGAACCAAATTTTTTAACTCTTGGGGATGGTCCACCCAATCCCCACTGTCAGATTTGAGCACATCGATCTTCAGTTTGCTCCTCTTAGCAATGGTGGTGAGGTGGAAGTATTTGGTGTTACGATCTCCTTGAGTGATCCATTTAGAGCGGGATTTTTGAAACCATAAAAGTTCTTCTTGATAAAGAGTATGGTTATATTGGGACACCAACTCCATCTCAAGGAGATGAAGGTTATGAGAATAGTGCCGAGCTTGGGATTTTTGAATCCCTTCAATGCGCCTAATCAACCATCTTTTATTTCTAAAGATGTTACCAAAAACATGCTTATTCCAGGCCGAGGCTTTTTGAGCCAGAGTTTCCAGGGATAGGGAGATGGATGGGTTCAAGAAAACCCAGTTATCAGCCACCACAGCCCTGAATTCCTCATGGGAAATCCATGCAGCCTCAAATCTAAAGGGTTTAGCAGAGGAGTTAGGGGGGTGCATACCTTGGGTGTATACCATTAATGGGGAGTGATCCGAATAGGTCCGAAGTAAGTTACGAACACAACCATCAGGAAATAAGGTGTGCCATTCCGAGTTACACAGAGCTCGATCTAGACGAACCATAGTGTTTGCCCATCCTTTACGATTATTAGACCAGGTAAGTCTTGGCCCAACACAGCCAAGATCCATTAAGCTACATTTATTAATTCGTTCCACAAATTGCCTGCTGCGTCTTTGACTTTGTGCGGCATTACTAGAGTTCTGGTCAGAAAATGCCCGTTTCTCATTCTGATGGCTAAAGTCATTGAAGTCACCAGCAAGAAGCCACGGGCCTTGATTATTCTGGGCAGTGCTTTCCAAATGTCTCCAGAGCACCTCCCGCTGGGTCACATTAGGACTCGCGTATATGGCTAAGAGTAACCAATCCGGGTAATTATGGCGAGATACCATGGGTGTACTAACCTGGGAGTTGATGTCGGTTACCCTAACATTGGCTTGAGCTGGATTCCACAGCACCCAAATACCTCCGCTGTAGAGGCTGTAAAGCCCATTCTGTTGAAGAACATACCCATTGAACTTAACTCCACCTTAGTCTCCATGAGAACCATAATATCTG